TATTCTCTTGCCTTCGTACAATGCGATGAGAGGCTCGTCACGTTCGAAAAAAAAAAAAACGTTAGAAGAACACGTTGAAAAACAAAGAACGTTACAATGAAACTGATTTGCAGTCCCTTATCGGCTGGCATAGGGATATTGTCAAAGCTTTGAAAATTGTTTCGTGTAAGATTCAAATTCTTGAAACTTCACATCGTTGTTCATGTCACTGTCACAGTACTATTCACATAAATGTTCGTGCTATTATTCATGTCACTGTTCACGCTACCGTTGTTGCTCTCCAAGCCAAACCCCTTTCTATACTCTCAGTTAATTTATATCTAGATTTTTTATCCTCTATAGACCTCTTATTCCCCCTTTTTTTAGATCGCCATTACACAATCATTGAGTTCTAGTTCTTTTTAATCTCAAATCCTCAATATGTCTGGAAAAGGGCTGTTGTTCGCTTCATAAGAGGCCTATTTTGATGGATCCACTAGGCCACCATTAGAACATTCTTTAAGCAAACACAAATTTCAGATCAAAAGAAAGAGATCACCGCAGTGTCTAACCGCCATAAGAAGACTGGCTCATTAAAGAATCAAAATCTTATTGGCTAGATTAATTCAACCTTGCCTGAAGAAATATTGGTTTAATTGGTGAATCTCCCAAGTACATACGATCTTTGGACAGCCCTCAATAAGTCCTACTCTCGAGAATTAGAGGCTCGCGTTATGCAATTAAAATCTGAAATTTAATATTGTAAGAAGGGAAAGATGTCAGTTTCTAAATTTGATAATAAGATAAAAGGAATATACGATCAACTCGCAATTATTCAACAACCAGTTGAAGATAAAGACAAGGTGTGAAATGTATTACGAGGGTCGGGTGAAGACTAGAACTTTTCTCACTTCTTTGATGAAAATGATTTCTCCTTCCTTTGCTAACCTTCGACCATGCGCAACTGGATGAGACTTTGTCTTTTTTTGGAAAGAGGCACAAAACTCGTCACCAAGTAGCGAGAACCACAATGTCCTTATCACTAAGGACAGCAATATTGCACAGAATTCCAATAATTTTTGGGGAAATAACAAAGATCGTGGAAGGTGGCAAAATGAGCACGGTGGTAGAAACTTTTATGGTGTTGGTCGAGGTCTTTTGAAAGACTCATCGGTCAAATTCGTTCGGTCAAATATGTAGAAGAGGAGGATATTCAGCCTGTAATTGTTTTAACAGACACATGAATGACAATGAAATTAATTGAGGAGAAAATCAAATTATTGCCTTGGCCAATACCGAGAATACATATGTTGTTGGATTTGGTGCTATCCAAAATCACCCACATAAAGAAATCTAATATTATGTGGGATTGAAATTGATATTGATACGTTTCTTAAAGGAAATAGAAATCCAAAATGATTGGGACTCTCAGATATATCTTTTGGTTTTTGAGATATAGGTAACATGTATGGAACGTTTTCTATTTAATATGGATTTCTAATCTTATATATATGAGTTGAAAGTGTAAAGAATTGGTGTGCCCTATTTAGGTCACCATATGGGAAAAGTAGTTTCCTCTAGAGAGAGGGGAGAGCAGAGCCTCATGTGCATGAGATGAGAGAAGATAGCTTCCTATGGAGAGAAACAGATTTCAATTTGTCATGTCTGTGGATGTAGCCCTCTTAGGGTGAACCACGTAAATCTTTGTGTTTTTATGGTGTGTGTGTTTCATATTTTATTTCTGGTACTTTACTTGCCAAAATCAACCCATTGAGTTTAGAGCTTTTGCGCACAAGTGGTATCAAAGCTTGGGGTTGTCGGTATGGTCGTTAAGGTTTCGAATGCAAGTTTGAGGCGGAGAAATTTAATAAAAAACACTATTTTTCAACAAGAATGATGAATAAATTTATGTGGCAAAAGATGAAGCATTTATGAAGTTATCCAATGGATGCTGGCATGGTGAGCAGGTGATTTTGATCAAGGTGGAGATCGTTGGATTTGGTGCTATCTAAAATCACACGCATAAGGAAATCCCATATTGTATGGGATTGAGATTGATATTGATAAGTTTCCTAAAAAAAATAAAAATCTAAAAATATTAAGACTCTTGGATATATATCTTGGTTTTTGAGATATATGTAAAATGTATGTAAAGTTTCTTATTTAATGTGGATTCATAATCTTATATATATATGAGATGACAGTGCAGAGAATTGGTTTGTCCTATTTGGATCACCATATGGGAAAGATAGTTTCTTTTAGAGAGAGAGGAGGGCAGGGCCTCATGTGCGTTAGATGCAAGGTTTCCTCTTAGAGAGAAGAGAGCTTTCTACGGAGAGAAATATTGATATAGTGGATTTCGATTTTTCATGCCCGTGGATGTAGTCCTCTTAGGGTGAACCACGTAAATCTTTGTGTTCTTGTGGTGTATATGTTTCATGTTTTATTTCTTGTACTTTATTTGTCAAAAATCAACCCAACAGATTTAGAGCTTCCGATGAAATATTTCTATGGAATCTCTTCCCATTACTTCTACTTATGGAGCATAGATTGTGCATAGTGAGGCTGTCAACCATGTTCTGAAGATCCTGGTATGTTGTTTTATTGATTCTTTTATGGATAGCGATTTAATTATAATTCGTAATTGGTCCTCCCACGACTTAACACATGTAGGTCATGTCTTGAGCCTTCTTTTGGTCTTATTCTTGAATCATGTTTTTCTTGTTCTGAACCTTAAATACAATCTTATTTAAGTTTCCCAACTAGCATATGATAATATTGGGTTTTTGTGGCCATTTAAAGGCCTTAAGAGAACATATAAAATGCTGACTATAGTGATGTGATAACTCCAATGGGAATACGGCATGGTGAGACACATTGATTACTATCCAATGGGACCAAAGGAGGCATTATGATTCTAAAACTCACTTGGGCTTGACGAGCTAGGTTTGGATTGATGTCTAAACCCTAGTAGCCCAAGGCATGAAGCATAATCGTGAAGGGTTTATATGGTTATCCATTGATAAGGTGGTAGAGATGCCCATGATAGTTGGCCAAGGGATGAGCCCTATATGTGACTAGTAGGCCTGAGGGTATAAAGGCCAAGTCCTCATTGTTACCATTATACAGCATGTATATATGATAGTCATCTTAGAAAATAAATACATGTTGGGTTGTGACGTATACATGTGTCAAAGAGATACCTCTGCACTATTGTATCTAGAGGGACAAAGCTTGTCCTCAGTTAGAGATATGTAAGTCATAGACTAGAACCATATTCTCTTCATTTATTGGCTGACTTTGATGGACCAATCATAAAACCTGCGATGGGCTATGAGGCATGGGTTCAGTTTGGTTGGTTTGAGAAGATGATTATAGATCACGGTTGCTAGTATAGATGGAGTGTCTTAGTTAATTCGCATGTTCCCTGAATCCAATTTCCTTCAAATTTTATATAAACATGTTTTGTTTGAATTATGGAATATTAAAATGAATTTTTAAAATGCTATGTATATTCTCAAAAATATTTTTTAGATAGCTAAAAATCAATTTTTATTAGATTTTTATAATTCTAAAAATAATTCATTTATTTTAAAATTGTTTTGAGGGTGTGAGAGCCCATTTGGGATAGGGGCCTACAAGTTGGAGCCCACTTTGGTGGGGCCATCACAGATCCCACTTAGGGATCCACACCACTTTCTCTTGTTTCTCCCTATGTGAGGTTGACTCATTAAAAATAATTGACCAAAATAGCCTTAAATATTTCAAAGTACTTTGATGAGTTTATTTTTTATAAATTATTTTTTTTCCAAGTGCGACTATTTTTCAAGAGTAGATGCTCTAAATTTCATTTAATTTAAATTCGTACAAAAATATATATATTCATGACCATCACATAGGCCCAAAATTCAATCTAGGCCAAGCTTATACTATTCCATCAGCCCTTGAGGTGACAGGATTTTTTTCCATATATATAACCCTGCTTTTATTTTATTTCATTTATTTTTAATAGTTTTTCTAAATCACAAGTCACCGATCCAAAAACAATCCAAATCGCCAGTGATCCAACATTAATTTGTGGGTGAACAATCTGCCCCAATGATCGGGGTTTTGAAGCACTACTCATGACCTTTGGAGGACCATGCACCCTTGTACAACGAATGGAGCAGAACTCAAAAGCATTGAACACGTTAAACACCACTAAACCAACCACCAAAACATACCTGAAGCAGGACAAGTTGAGAATGAAACGGTAAAAACCTCAAAGAAAGTTCTTACCATTTTCAGCCTCAAGGAATTAAACTTTGGGGAGCATTTTGGTGGTTGGTTTATAAGGGTGGTGACAATCATTTTGGTCGTTGGTTTAGAAGGCTGATAATAGTCACAGAAGGTGTCACAGAAGGTGTTGAACTTAATAAAGGTTTTTAACCATTTTAACCTTTAAGAGTAGGTTTTTACCTTCAATTACTATTGAAGGTTTTTACCATTCTCAGCCTCGAGGAATTTATTTTTTGAAAGGACTTTATGATATATAGGTGCGGTTAAACTACATAGGGAGACTTGTACTACAAAACCTTGGGCAATTAAAGACGGACACGGTTTCTATGCATGCAGCCCGCATATTGTAGAAAAAATGCAGGCTTGGGAATAAATATGTTTTTTAAATATCATTTGATCATAATTTTTAGAGAATATTTAATGGAGATCGTGAATATATAAATAAAAAAAACAAAATGAATGCTAGAAATAATAATTATATCAAAAAAACATTTGGACCGTTAATTACAAATGTTTTTAGATGGACCACCTATTTGTATCCATCTTTAATATTGATGCTTTATACCTCTTGACTGCATATTGTAGAAATGCGATCCAACTTGCATGAAACAATTTTCCATTAAAGACTGCTCACAATGTGTGTGCATGAGAGAGAAGGTGAGTACAACAAAACCCAAGGCAATCACAAGACTATGCTGTGTGTCTACATTATCACATGTCCAACACCATTAAGCATGTAACAATTTGATAAATAGCTGATTCTTGAAAGGAGAAAGAATAGGAGAAAATCAGATATCACAGTTATTGTTGCACACGGAGTGGATGACCTTTTAAATTTCAGTGACCACGTGAACATGAATAACCAAAAAGAAAGAAAATCCAAAAAATATGAATAAACTAGAAAGAAAAAGTTATTTCACGGTAATCCTTTGAATCCACACAAAGTGAATATATTCAAAAACCAAAAAGAAAGGAACAGAGCCAAAGAAAAGGAAAAGAAAACAGGCTTTTGTTTTATGAAGCCAACAAAGAAGAAGAGAACAAAAGGAAAAGGATCTTTTGAATATTGATACACAGAAGCCTTGTCATATGTAGATGATCACTGTCTAAAAAGAATCTGCATAAGAGAAACACAAGAATGAGACATCACAACCATCTCAAGAAGACCAGCAAAACATATAAAGAAAGAAGGTGGACATACATCTTTTTAGAGGGCATTAAGCTAAAACCCACTTGAAACTGGATAAAGCAAACTCTTGTGCTCGCATGGTTAGTAGCAATCACCGATATCTGCCATTAAGATAGTGATACAGCATTAGCAAATGACTACAATGGCAAGCTTAATTTATGTACATATTTTTATTGAATAAAATACAATTAAATTGGGTGCAAATTCATGCTTACCAAGACCACCATCATCAACATCATCCAAATAATCTTCGTCATCATCAAACCCAAAGTTCTGCAAACATAACCCAAGAAAATAAACATCGCTACTAAACAAAAAGTTTAAGAACAAATAAGAATGACTTCATAAAAACATGAAGATAACAAACACGAATCTGCATGACAGCAAAGAGTTTTTATGAGAAAATAGAACTGCACTCAAGTGGGATCAGGCACCCAACCCTAAAACCCAGTCATTCCTGAATATGTGTCGTACAGCCCCTTACCTTCAATCTCATTGTTCTTTTTTTCTTTTTCTTTTTTTCTTTTTTTGGTATGTGTGTGTGTAGGTTACAAATCAATGGTTCTTTGATGCATGATACAATGGCCCATCTTTCAATTTGTGGATTGCTTTGTGAAAAGGATAGATTTATGCATCCATCTCTCACTATCAACATGATGAGAAAAAACCTCTCTGTGGACATAAATAATGAATTCTACAAGACTCTGTTGCCTGACTTTATGTTGAAGGTAGTCAGTCAATTCAATTTGTTAACTAAGAAAGACTAAAATATAGTTTGAAACAGGCCCAATGTGCTTGTGGATTTGAACAAGTGTACAGCCCATGTATGTAGTGATTTGACAGTTAGGTCCCCATCTGTTCCTCTAGTACTAAAAATACATGATTCGAGTACTGCTCCTAAATATATGGGTCGAGTGCTGCTCCTTGGGTTGTCTAAGTTGATCATGTTGTTGTTATCAGAGATAATGGTGAGGCAATCTCAAGCATGATCACTTGCATAAGAGACCATTTGAAATAATTGATCGAGGTAGAGCTGAACTACTTTATTCGCACTGAAATTGAATTATCTGATCCTGAAACTCTCTTCCCCAAAGTATATATTTGTTTCCTCAGATCGACCTCTCACAAAATAAATATGCTTTGAACACATCCAATATTGGAATGTTGAGATGTAATCCATGTGACTACCCTATCGAGCAGCACACGGGTTAACTGGCGAGTCCCACAGCAGTATAGAGGACACCACAAACTTGTAGGAAGGTTAATCTGATTGATTATTTACATCCACGAGCATTGGAGTGGGGAGTTAATTCACATAAAAGTAAACGAGCGTAAAGGTGAGGTGTACAAAATTCTGCATAACATTCAGCCTTATCCTCAGAAAGGAAATATATTGAATATCAAACAGAATAATAGTTGTTAATGCATATTTATAGAAAACTAAATAATTTCTGGGTAATACAATTAGTTACTGCATAATCATAGAAATGATTAAACTTCATTAAAAAGTAACAAATAATCAGCAGTCTCCATAGCCAAAGCATAAGTAGAACAAGTGTACAGCCCATGTGAATCACAGACACAACTGACCAGAAGTTAGTGGGGGTGTGTGTGTGTGTGTGTGTGTGTGTGAGAGAGAGAGAGAGAGAGAAGAGAGGGCAGGAAGTGGGGGAACAACTAGACATGTTCTAATTGCAATGTTCAAGGCATTCACAATTCTTTTACGTGGGAAATCAGGAAAAATGCAAGCTCATGTCTTCACAAAATTAAAATTCGCTGCTGGACGATGAAAGCAGTATTTCACACCTTATAAAGAGAGAAATTGGGAATTTTCTTGATCATACCACACCATGTGATCAACATAATTCCAGTAGCAGATATTCTAACAATTCTAACAACAAAAGAAGTTACAGAAATATGCAGGAATGCTAAGGCATCCAAGGAAACTAATGCTCAGACAATGTGAAAATAACCTCACTTGGATAAGTTCATGGAATAATCACCAATTGATAAGACAAACGGCTCAGTTTATGTAGAAAACCACCTTACAGAATTTTTGTTTGCATGAAAACGCAGTATTACATCTTCTTACATAGATTTCAGTTGGAATTCTCCCATTCTCACTTGGACCCCATCTCCTGAACTTACCCTAATCCACTTGGAACTCCCAAGAAACCAAATTAGTACATGACTCTAGTACAGTTGTACATTAAATGGGACTGACTTCGATTTAAATAAATACAACACCAATCAGGATTAATTTCAAGAGGTCTCCTAATACTGCTGCACCTAAGATTCAGGATATTCAAATTTAAATAATAACAATAATAATAATGAGTTATCCGGACATATTTAGGTACATGTTGCTAATTTGATAAGCCCATGGACCTGAAGACCACAATACTCAAAGGGTCATTAAAGAGTAGTAAATTAGATTAATCACAATTTTTTGGAATGTAAGTTGGGAGTGGTGAGAAGAGAACTCTAGACATCATGTTACGGCACCCGCCACCTTGTATTACATGGATACCAACACAGGCGCCAGTATCCAGTACGTGTTGTGATATCTAGTACATGAGGCCAAAAGCATGCCCTTACAATTCCTATTTATAAATTATTTATTCTATATGAATATATAAAAAAATCAGACATTAGAAAAATTATGAATACACCAAAAAATTGCGATGTTTTGAAATTTTGTACAAGCATATTCTATATGAAAATTTGTTTAATAAAAAATTATTTATCGCAATATTTGGTTAATAAAATGCTGTTTTACATGAGCTATAAAATGTAAATGGATTTTCATGACATTAGGTCCACGATCTGGCTTTTTAAGCCAAATGATGTGATCACACTAGTGATACATGCATAGGTAAGTCTAGGTCCCTGCTCTCTCTCTCTCTCTCTCTCTACATTAAGGTTGCAAAATATTAGTTGAAAGTTAGTTTTGGTCCTTGGCATGTGTACCAAGAGATAAGGTAGAGAGAGAGCAGAGAGACAAAATCTATTGTGTCATCATCCATAAATTGTATGCATAAAAAGCTTGCAGGCATTTTCTTGGTCATGCATTAAAGAGGTGTATGCATAAACGTTATTAGGTCCATTAAATTGCATGTAAAGTGGTTTGACTTTGTACGTCACTAGCATAAAGTATTTTGTCTAAATCTATAAAAATTTCCCATTTATATATCGTATGTGGAATAAGGCCCAACTCTACCATCGCCGGTCCCAAGCCTAGAGATGAGGGTTGTATTAGGCTAGCAGCCATCAGAAAAAAAAATTCCACTGTTACATGAATCCTGATCCAATGTTACATGTTCGTGCAAAGGTGTTCCCTGTAAGGATGCATTGTACCTGCACCCTGGTGTAGTAAAAAATGAACAAGGATTACCTAGGGTATTCTGAGACTCCGCAACGACACATGGTTGGGTGAGGATAGATAATAAGATTTATCTACCCATATGGAATGTAGAAACTCTATCAGGTAAGAGTATGGAGTTAGTGGATACAATGAGACGAAGGAGAGTGAACACAACGTGTTTATAGGAAACTAAGTGGAAAGGAGCAAAAGCTAAGCAAATTGATGGTTATAAAATTTGGTATATGGGAAAGAATATTAATAGAATAAAATGATCAAAGCGCTTTAAACAATCACCGAGATGGTCAAATCAATCAATTTATCACCAAAATGGCAGAGCGCTTATTTTATTAAAATCATCTCTCAAGTACTTTCTAAAGTATTTTATTAAAAGAGAAGTATAAAATGTAACCATTTACCTTTGGTACAAGGCGATCACAATTAATTTTGACCACTAAATATGAAATTGGGTGACTGCATTTTTCTATT